GACATTGCAGCAACATGTGACACAGTCAAAACTGTTACAAGAGCCTCTTTTATTTCACAAGGACCGCAAGACCAGCAGACGGATCCTGAATCACTTACAATACCCACTGGTGCCATGGCTTTATGCCAGCTCAATCCTTGGCCTCCTTTTCTCCCTGCTTCCTCCCCACTCTCTTCACTGCCCACCTCTAGGACAGAGTGTGGGGAGGGCAGGAACCCAGAGCAGACAGGAAGCAAACACACTGGGTTTGAGACACTGAAAGTTTGAGTCAGAGTATCAGTGAGTCAGAATGCAGAAGTTCGGGGTATAGTTCAGACCTGACCGACTGGGTATAATGGATTCCAAGTTTTAGTTCCAGCAATGTAAGGCACGCTGAAATCGCCAAGAGAGGCCAGCATCTCAAAGGTGCCAGCAGCAGTGTCAGGTCAGACTGATGACAGGGTTTTCATTGGTGCTCAGCTCATGGCGTTTTTTTTGGGGGGGGGAGTGGGTAGGGGCGTCCCTCTCGAATTTCCCACAATACCCTCAGCAAGTATCATAGTGCCTGGTGCAGAGGCCAATGTTCGGTCGTAAACTGTGACCCAACATTCCGCGCCCATGCGTGACTCCCCCACTGAGACATGAGCCCCAAGAGGGCAGAACCGTATCTTCTTCCTCGTGGACTCCCTGGGCCTGGCACAGGCCTAAACCATAACGAAGCTCAAGGAGCATTTGGTGAGTGAATACATTAGAATTGACCCAAGAATTATATCGCAAGCTTCCTGCTAGTCCCCCAGAAAGGTTTTGTCCATTTTCCAGTATTCGGTGATTTACAGGAGCAGAGTTGGAAGGGTTTACAAATGCACTGAACTGGTTTGTTTTGTTTTGTTTTGTTTTTTGACAGGTCTTTGTTCAAATGGCAAAAACATTGAATAGAAATAGAAACACCTCAGGAAGAAGAAAGCCAAAAGGGGTTATTTATAGCATCTGCATATTTGTTTCATTGAGGATGAGAACCAGTAATTTCACGTTTTTGTTTCAACAATGTCAGGCTCTCTGAAATCCAGTCAAGAATGACTCTTAAGGGAGCCATCAGCTGTGTCCGAATAAACTGAGGACAGGGCTTACATGGGTTCCCCAGCTGCTGGCATTGCAACGCTTGTCACTGCCCCCCACCCAGCAGGCACAGAAGGAATAAAGCCCGAGGAGCTATACTCACCAGCCTTGATGTGGACATCCTGACTTCTAATTTTCCCTGAAGGGTTTTCAGCTGTGCAATAGTAAGTATTATCATGGATTAAGGTACTAAAGCTTGAAGGAGGGAAGGGGAAAATTTGGAGAGTGCCGTTGGGGTGGACGTGACGGATCCCAGGGACATCGTAGATCTCCTCGCCCGTCGCCAGGTACCATCTGAGAGACACAGGAGGGACGCCTGCGGCGGGGCAGGGCACCAGGGTCCCCGTGGTGCTTGCAAACACTACCTCTTGCAGAGATGCATTGACAAAGTAGAGGCTGGAGTGAAGGTCGTCACTGAACACTACAAGAAGACAACACAAGAATCGGTCAGTAAAGCATGCCTTCCGAACTTGACCTTGAGCCAGCCTGGCTTCAGGCTGACTGCAATCATCGCAGCGCTCGACTACAATGAAATAATTCAAAGTTGTGCGACCTACCCGGGACAGAGAGGCTGCACTGGAAAATAAGGTACGATCCTTGTTTCCAAGATCAGATTCTCTATTATGTATTTTATATCCCTTTTTTGTCTGTCTCCCTCGAGAGCAAACGTCTCATGGGAACAATGGACTGGTTTGCTCACGCTACTACCCAGAACGCAGAGCCTAACATCCAGGAAGGAGACAGAAGGAAAAGGTAAGCGAATGAACGGCTCGATGGAGTTGCTAGGATCAAACGGCTCTGGTCAGTAGGTACGTTGAGAGGTAATTTTGAATGAAATGAGTTACTTTTTTTAAAAATTAAAACTGAAGATCATATGTAAAGCATTTTAAAGAGAAAAATTGGCTTTCTGAAAATAGTGTCCAATCAACGATGCATTTTTTTAATTGAAAATATGTAGCAACAATAAAAAGAGCTTCAAAAAACAGCATCAAAGCATCACCTAATTCCACCAGACTAATACAGTTTCTGTTTCAATTTTTATATTTTCTCTTCTGGCCTGTCTGCCTACATGCCTTAACTGTAGTATTTATATAATTGTACTATGTTTTAATGTACATACAGAAAATATGCCATTTTTATAGGTTCAGCTTTGTTCTCATAACATGATTTCATATACATAATTCCTTCTTTCTATATGGACTTCACAAGTAAATATTAGTGGATACACATTTTATATATTGCAATTTTCTAAACTATTTTCTTAATCTTGGTTATTTAAATAGTTCGTTTTAATTACTACAAATAAAACACCTGCAAACCTGTTCCTGCACATTTGGCTTTGAAATGATTTGTTGAGCACCTATGTTGCTCTCCTTAACAAATAGTTATGGAGTGTCGCTTAAGTGAACAAAGGTAACTCAACATCTAGAACCCCAAATTAAACAAAATATTTATAAGTGCCATGAAGACCTACTTCTCAGGCATCTGTGACTATATATGGCTTTCTAAAAACAAATGCACACCCAGTCCCATCTTCACAAGGGACAAAGGAGCCCGACATACTTGGAATAATCTCACTGGACAGAGATGAAAATGATGTTCATTTAGTGCCGATGTCATACCAGCAATGTTAATAGACTGGAGGTGTTATTCATTTTCTCTGGTGAACAACAGCTCTGCCAGCTGAATGTAGGTTCCACTTTGGGGAAGGTAATTTAGAGATTCACAGGGATTGTCTCTTGACCAAGGATTAAGGGCTAGGAGATCGAAGAAGCAGGATTTCATCTTTCTGGTGAAGATTTCATTTCACATCATGGCTGCCTTTATTCTACAGAGCCAAATCTTGGGGAAGCTGTGTTCACAAGGTTTAGTGACCTCCAGATATCTTACTTGAACCTCCACCCCCTTTCTCGTGGTCTCTCTCACTGGCAGTGACCATGAGTTTGCCTTCTGGGGCCTTTGCTGACTATCTCTGATGTGGAAATCAGAGTGAAAGTCATTTGTCACAAGATGGCAGAGAAAAATACACTTGGTAAAAGTAATAGATTTACTCAAACAGAAGAAAGGGGTGTTCATCAAGTAACTATTTGATAGCTTTCTCTCCCAACCATAACTAAAGACTTTAGCAATGCTCCATAAATCAGAATGTGAAAATTATTGCTCAGAAATTGGTTCAGATTGGAAGCTTAGTTAATAGTTAGACATTGCAGCTTTCAACTCAAATAAAAATGCTGATAGTAGCACTGAGCTTTTACGTTTGAGCTTTCTAGGAACCTGACATTACCCAAAACATGTTGTTAGGAACAAGGTAACTGTCACTCTTCGAGGCTAATTAATTCCACCCAGAATCTTTTTTTCCTTCCCCACATTACTCTTCTGTCAACTGGATTGTGGTAATTTAAACTAAATAAAATTTAGTCATATTTTAATTTGTTCTTTTGCATCATAAAAGTAGCCTTGTTAAAAATAGCAAGTCTTTGAAAATGTGAATGTATATAAGAAATATTTCCTAATTAAATGTATAGTTTCCTATAATAAATCACATTCCAAGATTCAGCTTGTGAAATTATTTAAATGACTGTGAGAAAAATGCAAAACAAACGTTTAATCTTAGTAGTTAAAAAGATAAGTGATCTCTGGGGGACTACTGTCACTTCTCCTTACATTTTTTAAGGAATTTCACGTAAGTCTTTTTATTTCACTGCACTGGGTTTAATAATGTATCATAAACTGATTCTCTAAGATACACATCATATGGCCACAGGCAAAAGAAAACCCAAACTGTATTCCAACAGCTTTTGTTTCTTCCATCTAAGGAACAATCCATCTGCTTAAATAATAGTACTGTATTTTACAGAGTGTGGCGTGCACTTTAAATCCAGTTAACATTTGCTCCCTCCAGTAAGGACACAGGCAATCTTAATGTGAATTACGCTCACGTGCACGTGTGTGTGTGTGTGTGTGTGTGTGTGTGTGTGTGTGTGAAAGTTCCTTGAAAATCACTGCAGTTTAATAACAGAAACCTAAACAAGACATTTGGCATCATTTTGTTGTGAAATTCAGGGCATAAAACCCTGGGCTGTAGACACCGAGGGCGCTGAAGAAGGGACCAGGAGGACTTCATTTGCAAATTTCTCCATGTTTTATATCATCATAACAGATGGTATAACCAAGGCTCAGCAACAACAGAAAGAAAAATGCTACACTAGAAAGAAAAACAACTCAGTGTTGCTGTGTTTAAAATTCAAAGATGAGGGCCAGCCGAGTGGCTCAGTTGGTTAAGAGCTCGCTCAAGAGTGTGAGCTCTGAGCAACAGCGGTTCGAGTCCAGCCTGAGCTGAGCAGCCACTGCGCTGTCAACAGGTGGCTCAACTAAAAAAAAAAAAAAATTTCAAAGATGGCAAGGTGAAAAGAAGAGATGAGGAAGAAACACCACAGGAAGCAATGACACTATCATCCACTCATGCCACAACCTTGGTTGGGCACCTGCTATGTACCAGGCCTTGTGCAAGGTCCCAGGATGCAAATTCACATGAGTCATGGTATTGCTCTCAAGAACTTTTTGGTCCAAAAGGGGCCGTGGTCAGTTACACAGATCAATGACAATTCCTTAGCTAAGTGTTGTGACAGAATTATTCACAAAATGTAACAGAAGCATAAGTGATAGAGAAACAAACCCAATCTAGGGACAATGAGGAAATGGGGAAGCAGATTCTAGGGAGAGGGCATAAAAATGTTAGGAAACAGAATTGTCATAGGAAGGAGGGAAGTGAGAAGATACTGGATAACAGGAGCTTAAGGGCAGAACTAACACTGATGCACAATTTTGGAGAAAGAACTTGAGGTTCTTTATACATACTCATTTCTCCTGGACATGCGTGCTCAGCAACTACTAATAACCTGGCACTGTGTCAAGGCCTGGGGTCACACTGACAACCAAGGCTTGGGTGGTGATCTACAGGAGCTTACATTTCAGATGCTCAGTGTAAAGTCTAGATTGTAAGGGGTGTCAGAGCTCAGACTAAAAAGCATGTGTCTAATTCTGCAGGCAATAATGAGTCCCATCCATACAAGGTCGGACAATTAAGTTCGCGAACTCACCCTAGAAAAAGTGCTACATACCTCATTACTGAATATCACTATGGTCACCTTAGAAGTCCTCCCCTTGGGAAGCTATGCACCCACGCCTGCTCCTAGTCCACCCTTCAAAGCAATTTTGGAACTCTTTTTCTGGAATGGCCATCAGCACTCTCATCATATTACCCTTAATGTCCTGAATGTCATCAAAGTGTCTTCCTTTCAATATTTCCTTTATCTTCAGGTAAAGAAAGAAGTCACTGGGGCCAGATCAGGTGAGTAGGGAGGGTGTTCCAATACAGTTATTTGTTTACTAGCTAAAAACTCCCTCACAGACAGTGCCGTGTGAGCTGGTGCATTGTCGCAATGCAAGAGCTATGAATTGTTCGTGAAAAGTTCAGGTTGTCTAACTTTTTCATGCAGCCTTTTCAGCACTTCCAAATAGCAAACTTGGTTAACTGTCCAGTTGGTACAAATTCCTCTGATACCATCATTGCAACAAGTTCGCGAACTTAATTGTCACACCTCGGATGCCCACACGAAGACTTGTATACAAATGTTTAAAGATGCATTATTTATAATTGCCAAATAGGGAAACAACTCAAGTGTCCATCAACTGAAAAATGGTAAACAAAATCTGGTATATCCATACAATAGAATTTTACTCAACAATAAAGAGAAGTATAATACTGACACATGCTATAGACATGAATGACTCTTCATAACATTATGCTAAGTGAAAAAAGCCAGTCACAATAAAATACATGATTATATCCACATGAAACGTCCAGAAGAGGGAACTCTATAGAGACAAAAAGTAGATGGGTGGTGTTTTACTCAGGGCTGGAGGTGAGTGTGAGGGTGAAGGAGAGGGTTATTAAAGGGCACAAGGCTTCTTTTTGAGATGATTAAAATGGTCTAAAACTGACTGTGGTGAAGGTTGTATATGTCTACGAATTTACTAAAATCCACTAAATTGTACAAATGAGTGAATTTTATTGTACATAAATTAAATCTCAATAAAGTTGTTTAAAAAAATAGGGAGTCAATGAAATTTTGACTCAAAACAAGCAATTTCCCAGATTGTAGTTTTAGAAAGTGAACATTGGGTAGATGAGGAGTGCAGACCAGAGGCAAGAAGGCCAATTGTCCTGCTGTGGGGTGGCCTAGGTTCCCCCTGGGTACTGATGGTGTGAAGGGAGGAGAAAGCCTAACTGTATAGATGTATCTGATGTGTCCCCACCAGAAGTTGTGAGGAGAGTGAGATAAAAAAACAGCCAATATGATCCAAACTTAATAGCACTTGTACCTGGCTGCACGTACACCATGAATAAGAACAGAGAAC